GTGATGAGACTATTGGCTCCCACTGTGGTCGCCAGAGTGTTTGTGTCAGAAATTATTTTCTTTATTGTATAACTCGTTATAACTTTGATCGTTACAACAAGTTCTTAATGATACTGAATCAGATCAATATTATGAATAACAATTTCTGATCTATCAAACCAATTCATCGTCGAGAATCGAATAGTACAATATGGAAAGATCTTTTCTCCATACTAAATCAAAAATACCATTTTTGATTGGACCGGAAATACACAACATTGTATTTTCATTCCCCTTTTCACCTTTTCTTTTCTATAACCTATTATCCTCCTTATACAACTTTCCTACTTATACATAGAATTATGTAAATAAAATTATGAGGTATCATATGACTGGTATTCTCTCAAAAAGATTGGTCTTTTTATAATATCTTTACACAATGAAAATAAAAATTACAATCTCCTTCAAACAACACATAGATCCTATTTATTAGTCTCTGTTTGCGTGAGATATTTGCCTGTATCGGGGTTTATTCGTGGACAGCCTTGGATCAGATCCGGTTGACAGGAGATTGATTAAAGCTCTTACTTCACAAAGGAAGTAATTAATAAAGTGATAACCTTGACCAAGCGAGATTACGACTCTTCTCGAGATCAAGGCCAAACCTTATCTTAAGGAATGGGGGTGACGGGCCTTCACCCTCAGATCCTTCGAAACGCTCCTTCTTTATGCCGGAGTTCGCCAAAATCTGCTAGCCTCTCTCAAATTCATCAGAACTTCACCCTAGCTCCTCTAAAATTTATGACTCCCTTCAGATCTGCCTTTATGAGGGTGCTAGGGGTGTATTTATAGGCTTTAAATGCCGTGTTTGTGGATAGAAATGTCGTGTTTGTGGATATGGTCGAAAAACAACCATTATTATCCGTTTAGGTGGATTTTTGGTTGTGTAACAGCTTCCATACATTTAAAAATAATTCCACATGTTTATGGATAACCCCCAAGGAGTTCTAGATGCCAATCTTATCAGAAAACACGTTGGGAACTGACCTGGTCGTGAGTCACTTTTACTCTCGCACATGTCCGAGATAGGTTGAACTATCTTGGGTATTTTGATCTTAACTTTTTCATCTGATCTCGGAATGAGATGATTCAAGATGAATTGGAAAGATGACAAATAGGCCTACAACTTTTGTATTTTAAGATTCTTCTGATTAGAATCATATTATGGCCAAAATGTGCGAGACACAATTGGTGTCTCGCAGGTGCGAAACATTCTGGACTATCTCGGGTATTTTGGCTCTAACTCCCTCGTTTGACCTTGGAATGAAGTGACTCAAGACACGTTAGAAAGCTTGCAAAGATCTCTATAATATTCCATGGGCGAGACACCTATGTGATGAGCAAGATACGAGTGGTGCTTACTCCTTTGTGGGTGAAACGTAACCCTAGGTCAAGTTGCTTCTTCGTTATTGTACCATCCCGTTGATTTGTATGCTTTATTAACTCACTTTGTGTGTTTGCTAGCTTCTCTATAACATTAGATAATTCTCTTTGATTCGGATAATGATGTTCATAATCTTCTCTTCATCTTGAGCTGTGTGCGGGAACCCATAGGTAATTTTTGACGCCTGCAATACACTATTCTCTTTAACCTCTTCTGCACTGCATTTTGTTGTCAATGCTTTGATACAAACTCAGGAAATATCACCATTGCCTTGCATCATGCTCCAGTTGCATTGTCTTTCATCTTCACCACGTTTGTACATAATATCTTCACTTCAAATGAGATGTGCTGGATAATCTCTTCTACAAGTTGTTTTTTCCGCTGAAAGATCCACAGATTCCTAACCCTCCAAACATGATATATGCACGCAATTGTAGCTTCTCTTTTTATTCTCTTGATGTTCACCCTCTCTTTCAAAGCTAGCACCTAAGGTATGATGTCAAACTACCTACAAGGAGGATTAGACTCTTGCAGAAAAATTATTGTCAACTCCCAAATCTACAAACTAAACTGCATTAAAAGAACAGATGATCTCTGTTCTCAATCATCACACCACATAGAGCACAAGAGTTATCCTCCAGCACCCAAATGTGTTGAAGCCTAGATTTTGTAGGTAATCTATCAAGACAAGCCAACCAAGTGGTAAAAGTATGTTTTGGAATAAATAACCTATTCCACACAACATGAGCCCACTACTTCTTTTCAATTTCACCCAACATAATTTGGTAGGTAGAAGAGGAACTAAACTCTGGCTTAGCTCCAAGCCATTTCAAGCACCCCTCATTAAGAGATGCACACATCAAATCATCATGTCTTAATTTGAGAATTCTCTTGAACACCCAAGAGAAGTGAAGCTTAATATCAAGTTCCCATACAGATTTCCCTCTGTGATAATAGCAATAAACTCATCTCACCCAAGGAGAGTCCTTCATGAAAATAAGGGACCAAAGATTTTTCATAACTAGACTTTTATTCAAGGAAAAGATATATGTTGTAAACCAAGCCCTCCACTAATTTTAGGCTTGCATACCTAAGTCCATGCTATCTTCGCTTTAGTATGCTGACCATAAGAACCAGTCCACAAGAAATCTTTGTAGAGTTGCTCCACATCATGTATAACTCTTTTAGGCAATAGGAAAAATACTCACCCAGTAAGCATGCATGCTATATATAACAGATTTGATAAGTTGAGGCCTGCCAGTATAGGATAAGAACCTAGAAGTCCAGTTCCTAATTTTAGAGAGAATTCTCTCAATAAGAATAGCATAATCAGCAGATCCCTTTGAGGAGAGAGGGATGCCTAAATATCTAACTGGTAAGTCTCCTTCAGAAAATTCCAAGTGTTGCAGAATTGAGCTCTTAAAACTATTTCTAACTCCTCCAAAGAAAACTAAACTTTTAGACAAATTTGCGCACAATCTAGAAACTTGAGAAAAGTAAGAGAATTTTAGAGCCATGAGTTTTATAGAACTCAATTCTCCTTTACAAAACAACATCACATCATCCGCAAAGGTTAGGAGGGTAATCATATTGTTGTTGCACTTAGGATGAAAGTGAAACCCCTTTACTTCACCCAAATCAGACAAGCTTCTACCAAAGTATTTTATCACCAAGGCAAAAAGATAAGGGGAGATAGGATCCCCCTATCTTATATATTTCTTCCCCCGAAATTGTTTAGAAGGTTGGCCATTAAACATGATAGTATAAGAGTAGTGCTCATACACTCCATCACCCATCTAATAAACTTGTGAGGAAACCCTAGACTCTAATACATCAGTAAGGAATTGCCAATTGACCGAGGCATAGGCTTTCCTCAGAAATAAATGGGGGGCAACTGTGACTATTAGATGCTAGTTTAATTGCATGGGTTAGGAAATCTCAAAATAGATATGGTTGGCAACCTCGACTATTTTGTACTTAGTTCAAAATAGTTAACTTGTTCAACCCCGATAATTTGGCAGAAACATTTTGTTTTGCCTAGCCTACAAGCTCAAAATACATGGGGTCGGCAATGGGCCCCACAAATTAAAAAAGTACCCGGGGTTGCCAACCCCAACTATTTTGAAAGTTAACTAACTAGGTTTTTAATTATTTGGGGTTGGCAACCCCGACTAATAAGAATAAAGTGTCGTTTTTTAATTGAATCGATCCAATTTTAACTCGCGCTGCTGATATGGTCGAAATTAGGTTGATTTCTGTAAATAAATTTGAAATGGGTTGATTTTGGATAATAAAGTTGTAAATGAGTTTATTGAAAATTTCTACCCTATTTACCCACCGAATCTCTCATATTAGTTTTCCCCTTCAAGCCAGATGGTGCCATTTGATGATAATGTTTTTTGAACTCTAGTTATTTTTTCTTTTGAGGGATTTTTCCTCTGTTGATCTACTGATTAAAAAAAAGAAAGAAAGAAAGGAAGAACAGGGAGGATAAGATGCGATACAATCATATGGAGATAATGTTCATTATTCTGAAATAAATAAATAAGGTAAATTAATAAGAATTATCTAATCGAACCATTGCATGCCATATCATTTGACCTATTATGACCAAAGCCCACTAATCTAAACAGTAATCTAATTTGAGAAGTTGAAATTTCAATAACAGCACCGAAATGGCATGAAACCTGATTTTACCTCTTGCAGCAATCAAACACGTATGATAAATTGAACGCCTTAGTTTTTTTATAAAATAATTAGAATCATATGTATATCAAAATTTCAACGACTATGTTAATGACAGGAATGAAATAAGTAAGTCTTTATTGCAGTCGATAGGTAACTCTAATTTCTTTTGTTTCGTATCTACATTAGAATGGTATTAATCTGAACACCCATCCTCTTTACTTCACATTTTGGTCTTGCGTAGTTTAGGATACTTATTAATTCTAGCTAATTTATTGTTTTCCTCTGAATATGCAAACGTGTGCTAAGAGGTTGTGAATCTCACCGCTACTTTATGTTTCAATTTTTTAGGTGACAATTTTGACATCTTAATTTATTTGAGTTACAGAATCATGTCACTTTTAACGTCCTTTTTTTTTTTTGGGTAGGATGACATTTTTAACGTTGCTAGACAGTCTGCAGCAGAAAAAATTCACATCTTTTGCATTTTGATTTTGTTCTTTGACTTGCTCAATGCTGAGAGCCGACTTCTTTTTTCATGTTGAAAATGGGTCCTTTTGTCGATTAATAAAACAATACGATTCCATATTGAAGTGGGCCTGGTACGATATAAGCCCAAGACTTGTTAAGGCCCAAGCAGATCTTGAAAGCGATAATTTCAAAAACTAACAATTATTTCATGTTGACAGTTACGAATCCAGCAACCGTCCCCTAACTCTTCCCTCCAAAAGACTTTCTTCAACAACCCATTCAGGAAAAACTTCTTACTACAAAAACAAGTGAGATAACCCTTTTGTTGATGAGCAGCCATCTCCCAATTTTATTCCCTATGAATCCTCCTACAATACAAGAAATCCAAATGCAGCCTGTAGTACGGCAGGCGGCCATGGCCATGGCAGTTACTCCTGCGGCGTGGTCCACTGGCCTTTGTGACTGTTGCGATGATATTGGGACTTGTATACATGATTTGAATTAAACATGCATAATATTTCCATTAGTTCATTTATTTTCTTGTTCAATATTTTTACTGATTGCACACGCTATTGCAGGCATCATAACTTGTTTTTGCCCTTGTATTACATTTGGCCGCGTTGCAGAGATCATTGACAGAGGAACAACAAGTAAGTCATTTAGGAATATATCGACATGCTTATACTCTCTTTATGCAGTAATTGTTATTGACTATTCTTGTAATTGTGTTGAAAATCTAATTTAACATATAAACTCTCAAACTTGAATGTGTATGAGCATATAATGCATGATTTTGAATGCAGCATGTGAGGTAAGCGCAGTTTTATACGCGATTATATGCTGCCTTACTGGATGCCACTGGATATTGTCATGCTTTTATCGGAAGAAGATAAGGAACATCTTCTTCCTCGAGGATAGCCCTTGCCCAGATTGCCTCTTACACTTCTGTTGTGACACTTGCGCGCTGTGCCAGGAGTATAGAGAGCTCAAAAATCGCGGGCTTGATGCGAATTTAGGTAAATTTGAGGCATTTCTTCACTATTATTCTTGTTTCTATTGTTTGCTTTTTTTTCTGTAAAAATATTTTAAAATTGGAAATATTGGGGATTTTTTGTAGGGTGGAAGGGTAAGTCGGATCGGGAGACTGTGATCATGGCGCCTCCGGCGGTTGAACGAGACATGGTTAGAGAAAATATGCAATGAGTTTAGATTTGCTTGGTTATGAAGTGTAGGAACTAGGTAGCTAGGCTACTAGCTGTATGCATTATTTACTCTATTATGGTACTCTAGATATATTGTAATAATGACATTCTTAATTTGATATGTTACCATATTTAGTATGTTCATAAAGCGATCAGTTTAGGTTTTTCTTCACATATACTTTACCTTTGAAGTTAGTATTGTTCTTCTATTCTTGGTTTTTTTTTAAAATAAGAATAGGGCACAATGCCCTCTCAAAAGTATATTATATACCTCAAAACGTAGTGTATAAAGATAATATCTAAAAGTCATTTTAATGGAGACCCCCGGAGAGTAGAGGAGTGGATATTTGTTGTCACTCTACATAACAAGACTCAAAAGAAAGCGCTCATAAATATAGAGGACTATACAAAAGAAGTATAACATATGAACAATCAGAAGTTAACATATCGAAACAATGGAAACATCAACTAGCCAAAATAAGAGTTTATGTCCATCCCAAATGACGAACAGAGAGAATTAGCTAAGAATTAGCCACGACGTCGTTGCTATCCTCGTTGGAAGAAAGGAGCTCTGAGATACCCATCTCTCGGTTCAGGCTTCTGCCCCCCCCCCCCCTCCCATCCTGGTGGCTAGAGAACCTATCTAGAAAATGAGCAACCATGGAAGCCAACTTACGAGCTTGAGGTACTTCTCCTGAAAAGATAAAGTTGTTATGAGCTCTTCGCATGGACTAGCAGATAGTGGGAAAGCAAAACCTCTAAAGTTGCCGAGCCTTAGTGTCAATAGAAATATCAAAGCAGATATTAAAGTATTGACTTAAATCTTGAGGCAATGAAAAGGCTCTAATCTTAGGAAGAAAAAATTCCCAAACTTGCTTAGCAAAAGAATAGTGTAAGAAGAGATGGCCATGAGCCTCCAGTTCATATTGACATAGGGATCAAGTAGGATCGCCAGTCCAACCTTTGATGAGGAGCCTATCCATAGTATTCAGTTTATACAGGGATAAGAGCCATATGAAGAACTTGATTTTGCTAGGTAAAATAATTTTCCATATAATCAAATAGAATGGGCTACGAGTGTCACCATCAGAAGTAAATGAGTATAAGGATTTGACAGAGAAGACCCCAAAATTCTCTAACAACCAACACACCTGATCCAATTCCAAGGAAGGGCAAATATTAAAGGAAGACGCAATATGTTTAAGAGCATCAAAACGATCTTGCTCTCCTATCAGTCTCCTGATAATTGGTCTCCAACACCAATTATCACCATTATACATCTCTGGGACACAACATTCGCATGTTTGGAAAATGTAAGATTGTAAGCCAAAGGATATAGGCTGGTAAAAAAATTCCCACAAATCCATTTGTGCTCCCTAAACCATATCCTTTGGCCATTGCCTAGACGCCATTTAACCATAATTGAAAAGGATTGGCTAAAAGACAAGACATCTTTCCAAAACTTAAGAGCAATCACCTCTATATGATGTGCTAGAAGGGTCGGAAGGATAAATAGATTGAAGAACCTAACCAACATGATTGTCATTGGAAAGATATTTCCATAAACACTTAGCAAGAAGAGACAAAATAAAGTTTTTGAGGTTAATGACACCAAGGCCTTCACATGTCTTGCAGGAATAGACATTGTCCTATATAATCAATGCTTTACCACCCACTATTTTAGCACTGTCCCACATAAGAAGTTATGTCTAATCTTGTCCATTGCCTTGATGAGCCATTTAGGAATTTAAAAAAACATGTAATAAAGGAAGAGGGATGAAAGGACTGATTTAGAAGAACTAGATGACCACCAATAGAAAGATGTCTGCCTTTCCATAAGGAAAGTTTCTTATGAAAAGAATCAATAAGTGACTGCTAGTCCAGTTTGGTGAGTGATCCCTTTTTTAAAGAAAGACCTAGGTATTTAAAGGGTAGGGAGGCAGAGGACCAGTTAAGAATTTTAGCAAGGTATGGTCCCCGATTGACAATTCTACTACTATAATAGAGGTTGGATTTTGAAAAGTTGATTCCCAAGCTAGAGACCTCTTCAAAGAGATAGAGACTAGACTTAAGAGTGGAGATATTATTCTTATTAGCTTTGCAAAAAGTCAGAGTGTCAGCATCAAATTGTTAAACAATAGCAAAGGCGATTTCGGCCCCAAATTATGGAGGCAATTGAAGCTGAGGTCAAAAAGCTCATCAAGTCAGGATTTATTCTAGAAGAACAACATCCTGACTGGGTAGCCAACATTATCCCTGTTCTAAAGAAGAATGGAAAGATTCGAGTGTGCATTGACTTCCGAGACTTGAATTCAGCTTAATTATCTTAAAGACGGTTTTCCTTTACCCATCATGGACGTTATTATTGACAATACGTGCGGATTTGAAAGAATGTCTTTTATGGATGGATTCTCAGGGTATAACCAAATTAAGATGTATCCTGATGACGAAAAGCACACGTCCTTTCGAACACCCTCAGGGATATATTGTTATACAGTAATGCTCATTGGGTTGAAGAATGTTGGTGCTACCTATCGACGTGCTATGATCTCTATCTTCCAAAAACATCTACGGAAGACTATAGAATGTTACGTTGATAATTTGGTCATTAAAAGTCGTGACAAGGGAAATCATCTGCACGACTTGAGAACGATGTTTGACCTTATGCGGGCGCACCAATTGAAGATGATCACAACTAAGTCATTTTTAGGAATGACTAGTGGTAAATTCATCGGGTTCATAGTCACAGCTAATGGAATTCGTCTTGACCCAGACAAAGTCAGAGCCATCCGAGAGCTACCACCCCCTAAGAATCTTAAGGAGCTTCGAGGTTTATAAGGACGATTGGCGTATATTCGCAGGTTCATTTCTAACCTGTCGGGTAAATGCCAACCATTCTCAAAATTAATGAAGAAAGGGGTATCCTTTGTGTGGGATGAAGCTTGCCAAAAAGCGTTCGAGGAGATCAAGCAATATCTCTCCAATCCACCTGTGTTGGTCGCACCGAAGTCAGGTAAACCTTTCTTAATATACATCTGCGCTACAGATCATGCATTGGCAGAACTTCTAGCACAAGATGATGAAAGCGGTCATGAGGAAGCCATCTACTATCTCAGTAGGACTTTATTAGGTGCTGAACCTCGCTATCTTCCTATCGAGAAAGAATGTTTAGCACTGGTCTTCATAATTCAGAAGATGCGATATTACTTGGTTGGGCAAACCATATATATCATTTCCCAAATCAATCCTATTTGGGTATTTATAACGCAGCCCAGTACATTAAACTGGCAACTCGCCAGATGGGCTTTGTTGCTCTCCCAATATGACATTCACTTCAAACCTCAAAAGGCAGTGAAGGGTCAAGCTATTTGCGATCTTATGGCCAACCATCCGTTGAGAGGAAAAATTGAATTGTACCAAGACATGCCAGATGAGACATATGAAGCCAATGTTGTCTCTAAAGAGCAGGTATGACAATTATATTTCGATGGTGTAGCAAGGACTAGCCCTACTGGTTGAGTCATTGCCGGAGTGGGCGTAGTATTTATCTCTCCTCAAAATCATGTGCTACAACAAGCCGTTTCTTTAACAGAGCCATGCTTTAATAACGTGGCTGAGTATAATGCTTTGTTAGTCGGCCTAGATATAGCTAAACAAATGGGGGTGAGACACTTAGAAGCGTACGACGATTCGTAGCTCATTGTCAATCAGATAAAGGGAGAATATGAAGTAAGGAACGAGGACCTTATTCCTTACCATACCGTAGTTACTGTGTTAGCTGATTCCTTTGAAGGCTTCTATATTGACCATGTACCTCGTCTCAAGAATACTTATGCTGATGCATTAGCGTCACTGGTGGCTACGTTGGCTTTGCCTAAAAGAGCTACCCAACAAATCACGGTAGCAAGCAGACAATTATTCAAATCAAAATATATATTGCAGATCAACGCAATTGAAGATCAGCTCGCAATGCTCGAACCTAAGGATTGACGATTTTTGATCATTGATTATGTCTTATACGGCTTATTGCCTGAAGATATCAAGAAAAGAGAATCTATTCATAGACGGGCACCTAGATTCTACTCTGATTCTCAATCCCAGACTTTGTATCAAAAATCCAACGATGGGCTTTTGCTTCGCTGTTTGTCAAATAGAGAAGGAAAAGAAGCTCTTAAAGAAGCTCATGATGGCATCTGTGGAGCTCATCAACCAAGTCCTAAATTGTGGGACCGACTATGCATATTAGGTTATTATTGGCCTAATATGGTACAAGACACTGTCGCCTATGCCAAACAATGCTATGTCTGCTAGATACATGCTAATTACATACATCGATCGGCCGAGCATCTTCATCCGTCAACCACTTTATGGCCTTTTGAAACGTGGGGGATGGACACTGTTGGCCTAGTAACCCCACCCTCTTCCAAGGGACATCGTTTTATTTTAACAATAACTAATTACTTTTCTAAATGGGCAGAAGCAATTCCGTTGAGAGAAGTCAAGGCGAGTGGTGTCATTAAATTCTTAAAACATCACATCGTATGCAGATACGGTGTTCTGAGGTGTATCATTCATGACAATGGGCCCCAATTTGTTAGCCAAGCCTTCACCCGATTATGTGATATATTCAGGATTAAGAACTTAGCTTCAACAGCCTATAATCCTGCTGCTAACGGGTAAGCAGAAGCATTCAATAAGACCATCGTTAGAATTCTCACTAAGGTGGTTTCGATGAATAAAAGAGACTGGAACGAGAAGTTAGGTCAAAGTTCATGGGCTTATCGCACAATGGTTCACACACCAACAGGAGCGACACCATATTCCTTAGTATATGGATGTGAAACCGTATTACCATTAAAAATCCAAATTCCGTCTCTGCGAATAGCACTCGTAACTGGTATAACGATGGAAGACAGTCATCGTCGACGTCTTGAAGAACTGGAAGCGCTAGATGAAAAGCAACTATTGGCTTAACAACACATTAAGCTTTATCAAGCTCGGATTTCTAGAGTATTCGATAAAAAGGTTAGATACCGTACATTCAAAGAAGGCGACTTGGTTCTTACCGTTCGACACCCAATGATTTTGATCTCTAAGAAGAAAGGGA